TCACCACTCGGCGGAGAATTGCTTATCCAATGTTTTTCATTAGATAATAATATGGTTAGATCCTTTGGTGACAAATGTTTACTAATCAAGATTTAATTCCCGATGCGTTAACTAATTACAGATGAGTTGAATGATTAATTTCATGTGGCATACTCTAAAAATCAACGAGATGTGTATTAACCAAATGAGGTTATTACATTACCCGGGCGCTGATGCATTGGAATTCCGTAGCTTTCATTAACCTCTAGAAATTACGTAAAAAAAAAATATTACAAGTTAATGCACAATACTTATATGCTTATGATTTTTCGATTTTTTGAAGAATGACATATACAGTATCAATCAAAAAATACTTTCCATGACATACATATTTTCATTTTTCCTATTGTATCATCATTGATACGAGAGAGATTGTCAATATTTGAAATAAAGTAATTTGTCCTTTTCATTATTGATCTAATTACGAATCATACTTTATTTTAAAATAATGTAATAAAAGAAAAATTATGTTACCTAAACCGAAAACTAAAAAGGTATATGAATGAAAATTAAAAATTCGATCGAACCCAAATGGTTTTAGGGTAAATTAATAAATCTTTATTCATGTTATATATTATATAATTCTAGAATAAAAAAAAAAAATGCTTTTGATGCTTAGATATAATTAAAAGTATTGAAGGTGTAAAATAAAATAAGGTTTACTGAATCTGCATTAAATCACGATATTCTATTATATTTTAATTTAAATAAAATTCATCATGAGGGTGATCGATTTTCTATTCATACATCATTGATTGCTCTCCGGGAGCTTTATTAAGTATTCATCTTTATTTCAATGTTAATTTAAAATCTCTTCGATTTCCTCAAGAATTTCGAAATTTTAAACCCGGTTTTATTTTAGAACCCAAGTTTGATCGGTTATTTGGTACTATCCAGTTTCACTGTCATCATATCACTTCTCATTTAGTTATTGCATAAATAATAAATAAAGAATGATAAATTGGGCGCGAATTTCCACCTTTTTACTGATTCGCTATATCTAATTGATTGATTTGTAATTTCTTATCGTATTATCGTATTCTTATCTACTCTGTGACAATATAACGTTTATGGGTGGGCTCATTTTAAAATGAGTAAAATGAGTTCTGACTTCGTCCGATTAATACAAGTAAAAAAATTTATATGAAACATGAGCAAATGTACTACCTTCCCTATTTTGGTGAAATTATTTTCGGTTCTTCAGTTCAAGTACTTTCCGGTTATTCCAAACCTCGATTGTTTTATTCCTCCATACAACGATAGCACTTATCCGTCCATGACATCACATATATAATCTCGGACTAATTAAATAATTTGTGAGGCCTTTCGTTAAGTTCAATTCATCTTGCAAATGGTATCTTTTTTTTTTCGTTCATCGATGATTGTGCGCGTTTTGATTGGGAAATTGGGCTTTAGTCAAGGCTAAAAAAGTCCATAGGAACGTTTTGAACGATCACATGTTGAATTCCATAAAAGGAAAGGGATTTATGATCTTTTGATAATTTGATTTTCCAAGACAACCCGTTCATTGATGTTTGAATAATTTGTAGAGATACCATCTTGCTAGTGTTGACGTATAAAATACCCTTTGTTATTCTTTTACCACTTCGTTCTTTGTTTTAATTTGCTCATTTTGAATGAAAGTTCATCATGTAACACAGTCGTGTGAACTTATTTGATTACTCTAATACCATTGCCATCTGTTTGCCATTACAAAAGAATTAATTGTTCCTGATATACAAAATCAAAGGGTAGATATAAATCCACTGACCTAACTTAAAGAAATCATACTTGTATGGAGGAAGAAGACTGTTGTAAAGAACTTTTTTCTTCGCCATCATTATTCTCATTTGAAATTGAAAAGGTCATTTTTGACTTGAAATTCATAACAAAAAAGATGTCATTTCAAGGTAATTTTCCAACACTGCTCTATATATGGGGATAAGTCGTCAGGAGTCAATTCGTTATTATCATGAATTAAAACGTAACGTATAATTTGAAGGAAAATATTTTTCGAGTGTTGTGCCAAAACACATTCCTGAAATGGATAATTCCCGATGTATTTTGCAGATCACCACTAAAATTAATGTTGATTTATACAAGAAATCTTATGGAAATGAAAAGTCTCTTAAAATACCGATATCATCATCGTACAAAACATCTAAATATGTTCCATTCCAATATTGTTTTTTTCTCTCTCTCGAATAATATATCATCAGAGGAATCAATGGAACATAATTGCGTGCTACCCGCAGATTTTCAAAAAAGTGAATTTTTTCATTTAAATCACTGATAACGTGCGCTTCAACTCTTCATCTTTCTTATTAACAAAATTATATTGAAATATTGAAAGAATAAAATATCCGAATTAATTAGATTTTTTTCTTTTTTTTAAAAAAAAAAAAAAAAAAAAAAAAAAAAATAGTCAAATAATGACACGATCTTACCAATCAGCGTTACAGAATTTACATTTACAAAAAAAAAAAATTTACTAAAAAAACTACAGTATGAAACAAAGTACATAAACTTGTGACATCATGCTTAAAAGCTTTTCAGAGGACGGAAATAATTAAATTAAAGTGTTTCAATCAAAGAATGAAAAAAAAAAAAATTGAAAAAAGGGATGTCAAAATTTCAATGGAAGGATGGAAGGTTGGAAAATTGGTAACAAATGTTCGTAATCAATTCGAGTGTAAAACACCCTTCATGGTTTGCCCTATATGTATCGAGTTTTTGAGATTTATTTTTGTCCCATTTAATGAATTCAATTTATTTCGAACTTCCTTAATAAGCTGAAGACTTCTTGAGATCCTAATTGACGCGGCGGAAGCAATTGGACGATCATCAATTTCAGTATGATGTTTTTCAAGTTGGAGATATGGTATTTCTTTACGTTCACTTTCAAAACCGAGGTAAAACTGAAATTCGGACCGAGTTTCTTGAAGTGTTCTGTCATGAACTTTGTTCAATTTCTTTGGAGAGGTATTCTTTGGAGGAAAGATTTCTTCTAGCCGGAGATCTGTAAACCCTTTAATGAAGGCCTTTTCATCTTTTGTATTGTTTCTTTTAGTAGAGGGTAAATCAGTGTAAAAGAGGAATGGCACTTCGAATAATTTCTCTCCGAATCCACTATCACGCTTTGCGTATTTCATCTTGGATTAAGTATATATATATATATATATATATATTTTTAAAAAAAAGAAGGCTTCTTGTTATATTTCAAACTTTATTTTGTATTTTTTGTTAATTGGATTTGTATTATATTTTTATCACTTTATTATTTGTTATTATTTTATTTTTTTTAATTTTTTTTGTTTTTATGAAATTTTTCGCGTTGACCCTCATTATATAAGTAAATTTTTCGAATCATGAAACAAGAGCGAACAATAGACACGAATGAAAGTGAGTTCCAACCTAATTCATCAAATGCTACTTTGATTTAGATCAAACGCGACCTTTTTTTCCTAAATAAAAGCAAACGCAGGGAGGAAATTTAATTATCGATTGAGTTGATGCGCATGTCTTGCATTGCGCAGGTAGTAAGAGAAAGAGGATACACAGAACTGTATGTATTTAATGTATTTTTCTAGAATCGGGTGAAAAAAAAAAAAATTAAATAAAGACCAATAAAAAATATCACAGGTCACAAGTTGGAAAAAAAAAAAAGTAAGCGATATAATATTTTGATTGCACTGAAACTATGATATGATGTATGTATGATAAGAATGATCGTTCTTGTGATGTTTGTTTTAATTTTTTGAATCATTGATATGGAGTGGTAGGCCCCGAGATCATGTTTTATAAATTTTTCTAGATCATACACGAGAGACAAATGAACGAGAGGGGCAGATGAACCATTAACCAATTAAATTTGTAAATAATAGATTTTGATACCCTAAGGCGGCGGATTTTATTTTTTTTTCTTTACGGCAAATGTGGCTGTACGCATAAATCAGAAACATGTTTGGCAATAATTTAATGATGCATCCGATTAAATTCCGACCAACTACAAAATTTCTGCGGAACATCTTTTATTACAAAAAGAAAAAAGAAAAAAGAAATTCATTCATAAGTATGGCTGGAATCACAAATGGAACCATATTTTTTATCAGAAATTTCACAAATGATTCAAATTTAAAATTTGTGGTTCTAATTTTCGATCCTAATGAAAAATGGTTGATAAGAATTAATAAACAAGCCATCTAAAAGACATTTAATTGATAAATCAATTTTCGAAATCAACTCGTCTTGAAAAAATAGAATGGAAAGGTTTGATTTTTGAAAAATTAAATTGTTTTAAGAGAATAAAATTTCAATAAGGTGTACATAACCTAAAATTTTGTACAATGATTTACTACCTATTATAAAATATCCTATAAATTTTAAATTAAAAGTGTATTATTGTGTGTGTATTTGAAAAAGAAATAGATTTTCTTTAAATTTAAAGAAAAAAAAATCGGTAAATACCTATACCGAAAGGAATGAGATTGTTTCTCTCGTGCGATGGAGATCAATTTTTGTGTAAAAATTTTACACAGAGTCATAAGCGAAAAAGCATAAGCATGCATAAAGCATTAAGCACAATATACAAGCTTAAAGCGTAAGGCATAATTAATATCTAAGGTCGAATACAAAATCAAGTGAAAAAGTGAGTTGATATTAACAAATTTCGATAATCCAAAAATTTAATGATTTTTTATTTTAATAATAACAAAATGGTGATAAATTATATTATTTAAACAAAAAAAAAAAAATCATATTTAAATATAATTGACCCTCGCTTTGAATAATTTTAAAATGCTCATACTACCACAATTAGAAAGTACGCAGACAACTCTTGATAAACATTTCTATTTTATAAGTTTTTCCCTCATCATGTTTCTATAACCCCAAGTTCTTAGAATCCTAAAATCCTTCGGGTGAATTATATCTTATCCAATCTAAATTATCTTCTGACGAATTTAAAATGGGAGTTGGTGATGGTATAAATGGTGTTGGTGGTGTAAATGGTATAAATGGTGTTGGTGGTGTAAATGGGATAAATGGTGTCGGTGTGTAAATGGTATAAATGGTGTTAATGGTGTTGTTAATGGAGTTGGTAAAGTTGGTGGTGTTGATGTTAATGATGTTTGTGGTTTTGTTTGAGAATTTGATGTGGTTGTTGGTGGTGTAGGAGAAGTCGTTAAAATCCTATGTCGCTGTTTAGCGACCATGGACATCACCTCAAAGAATTGTAACACACTTTGAGATTGATGTTTCCAAACTTGACTAGCAAGCCCGGAAACTTCACCGACCGTCAGCTCAGGGACAACTTGTCTAAGTCTCGCGCTAAGATCTATTCGATATATCATGAACGCGTTTTTTGGACCAATGGAACGGTTAATTGATAAGGTGGTGGTGTCTGCGATAATAATGATCTTAATAATGTTTCAGGATTTTCGCAAAGAGGTGAGTAGATGATTGTCAAAGGTTTGTTTTGATCCTGCAACCTTGGAATGTTGGAAGAAGGTTCAGGATCATGTAAAAGAGGTGAATTGTCGAACATTGTTGATAAATGATGATAAATGATATGAATATAGTTGAAGAAAAATGATCGTATTTATATTGGTTTTTTTTATTAATTGCAAGTGTTAAAACCCAATCAAATTGAATTAACTATCAATTATATTTTTTCAATAAATATAAAAGGTAAGAAGGAATTCGTCAAATGAAAAAATTTACCGACAATGTGACATGATGTGACATATAGCAACGCGACTAAGATTTTTAAAACTTTTAAATTGGTTAATCAGGTTAAAGTTAAGTTGCTTATTCCCTGTCGGAATTGGTTCTGCGATTGTTGAGAATTGCTACAATCGTCAGATGATCAAAAACAATTGGCGCCTAAACCATTTTTACGTTTCGCAAATGGCTTTTATGAATTCGGGATACAGTCAACATTTTGGTTATGTTGATTAAACTATAATGTTTCAAATCTTATGTAAACTTTTTTTATTCATTGTTTCAAAGGAGTTGTGTGAACTTCTTATCATTTTGTTTCAAAAATTTCAAGTTTTTTCCATGTGAGTTATTTTTCTTTTATAAATGGATAAATGAGAAAAGATTATCATTGAAAAATCAAATTTTTTCTACACGATCATGTGATTTCAATATTTTAAATCTTTTGTGAAACCATGGCACTGCGCAATTCTTTCGTTTTTTCTTCTCACGTATAAAGAAAATCATCCCAATTACTTTAATAATATAATATCTTACTATTATGTTAAGAAAATAACTCTGTTCTCACTTCAACTCATATGGTCTTTGACATATAATTTTGTGATATTAATTTCATTAATATTGATTATTACGCAACTTTTAAACCTCCTTTTGCATATAAAATATTGAAAAAAAATTGGCTGATACACCAAAATTGAAAAGTTTCAAGTTCGTGAATTTGTGTTTGTTTCATTTTACCCATTCATCCCTAAACAGGTTATATTGGCTATGTAAGAAGGAGGAACCTAGTCCGAAATAAAAACGTATGGAATGATTGATCTGCATTATATAATCGTCAAGTATATAAAATAAAGTATTCATCATTTTTTGGTAATTCAGACGCAGTGATTTTTCTTGAAATGTTTTATTCCAACAACGAGCGTTATTTTTATAAAACTTCTAACCATTTGAAGTAATTTTTAACAATCATAGGAAATTTGTAACTAATTATATCGAATCACACAAGAATTTAATAGGGTTCATTAAAGGAAAAAACAAAGATTGAGATTTATTTTAATCAAGCTATATTTAATCATTCATCGGTTTGTGTCTGATAAGAATCAGGTTACAAGAATTTCAAAACTTGTATTTTCACACTTATTTACACATCACTATATAAAACTACTGTATATACAGTAATATATATAAATAAAATATATTATATACAGCTTCTTATAATATAAAATATAATAAAATAAATAAATAAACTAACTAATCTAGTACTATATAAACTTTCCTATTAAAATAAAAAATTGTACAAGATTTTAAATAACATATATACAATAAATTTATGTTTTCAGAATATATTTGTAAAAAAAATAAAAATTTAAATAAATTTTTTAATAATTTATTTTCTTAATATTGAAAAATTTTAAGCAAAATTTTACATAAATTTTTACATATGAATTTATATAAAATAGTAAGTTTATAGATTTTACATGAATTATATTTTGCAAGGTTATATAATTTTATTTAATGTAAATTTTATATAAAGTTACAAGTATAAGTTTGTATAAATAAGTATAATAAGGTTACATTTATAAAAATTTCTAAATAAAATATTAAAAATTTATAAAATTATTTAAATATTATATAATCTAATTTATTTGTATTTATATTATAATTTTATTTATTATTGCTAAAAAAATCTTTTCTGCAAAAGATTGGTAGAATGGTTAGAAGTTTTATAAAAATAACGCTCGTTGTT